AATATTTAGCTGTTGGTCTTGACGAATTGCTAAAATTGTGGCATTTGATTGATAGTTTTGGGCATACTCTAGTTAAACTAAAGCGGACTTTTCTATAACAACGTTTGCTGCTCTTCACAAAAATCTTCGTTTACCAGAAGCCGCGTTTTATGCCCCTAAAGTATGCTACATATTAAGTTAAATTGATGTTTCTAATTTGGTCATTTTAAACGTTAAGCTAATTATTCGATTCGATTTGACAAAAAGTTAAGAAAAGATTTTAAGAGAAAATTAAAAATAAAAGAGGTAATCAATGTAATAAGTGGAAGGAACAACTCTAAGCATTTATTAATAAACTTAACACAGAATCAATCTGAACATATATCTTTAAATATGACATAGGCTTTAGAATCCATCGTTATATATATCTTTTAACTTAACATGAACTTAACCAACATAGAATCTATAATAATAAATATCTATTTGCTTAATTTAAGCTTTAGATCTGTCTTTTAATTTGACATAAGCTTTAGAATCTGCCTTTATATATATTTTTAATTTGACATAAGCTTAACAGAAATAGAATCTGACTTAATATATATCTTTTAATGTGACATAAAAAGAACCAACATAGAATCTGTGCTAATATATATCTTTGAATTAGATATAAACTTAATAAATATCGAATCTATCTTACATAGAATATAGAATCAAAAATAGAATATATCTCAATACATATATATTTTAAGATGTTGGAACTCATTCAAAGTAGCATGGACAAATGTTATTGCTCAAATAAAACAAGTCAAAACAAACATTACGAATAAATTTAGATAACAAATTTGCAGCAAATCAAAATGTTCCGTGTCGTATTTTAGACTAATTTACAAAGAACATTCACAGTTGTTTTAACCATAATTTTGTTAATTTTTCAATTTAATTATTGTTGGAACAAACTTTTCGTATCACATATTTGTAGCTAATTTATAGCCAAATATAAATTATTATATTGATTATTTTCTTTGCGATTATCAAAAAATATTTGTGCAGCTGACAAAACATTTTTTTTTTTTGGGCCAAGTCATGACGACGTCACGTTCGTGCCGGTTATCAGGTGAATTCCTATTAAATGCGATTTAGAAGTTCAAATACCCATAAATTATTTCTAATTTATTTCTTAAAGCATTGATTCAAAGCTGTCATTTAGCCAGTTTTGTTTTTTGATGTGAAAAGTGAGAGTGAGCGATTTTCTTGTCACTTGGTCGAAAGCCTCAAAGAAATTCATTTCGTTGCCGTCAACGACATTGTGGAGGTTGTTTAAGTAGCCGACGAACGTTTCGTGATAGCTTCCATCATTTACGATTGATGATTGATGTCAGTCATTAGCAAATAACATAAGCAGCCGATGTGTCGGAAATTAGTTAAGATAGCTTTTTGTATATAGAGCTTATATATTATCAATTTATATAAATTAATTATTATTATTAATTATTATATAAAAATACTGAACTACAGCTCTTGTTGAGGGTGAAAAAAACCCTTTTCTACCAACAGCAAATGTAGCTCGCGCCGAAATGAAAGACACTTGAAACCTTTTCTCAATGGTTTCAGGGCATACAAATTTCTTGTACTTTATAAACGGCTAAAGAACAAATTTAATATATTCTAACCAGAAAAAGCTTTTGCAGTTGTACTCTATAATTTTGTAAATTATTGGAGATTTATTCTAGAGCTTTTTTTTAAGGAAATCTACTAATGCTTTATTCGGGTTGACTTTTTTTTTCAGAAAACAGATAAGTTTATTAGTCTAAGCAGACCAACAATTTTGGAAGCTTTAACAAGTTAACCAAAAATGAATAATAAGCTTTGATCTTAGCAAAGCTTTAATGCCGAAGCTTTTTTGTAAGATAATTGAATTATGATCTTTGTCCTGACGAAGTGAGTTTTGATAGAATTATTTTTTTTTCATAAAAACTGTAATTTAAGAGTTTTGATGTTAATTTTCATTGGGAACCGTTGCGGTTACATCAAGTCGAAGCCTTGAGCTCAAAATATTGTTAACAATAACGACAACACGCTAAAATTGCCTTTAAATTTGCAACTGCAACTTGCCACTTGCAACTACTTAGGTGTAAGTTCCGCTCACTGGCCGATCGATGGGTGTGACTTGCGGCAACTGATGAAAAATACAAAAAACAACACCTTTTGACCGAACTGTGGCATGAGGCACGCCCCTGGTTGGCAATTTGGTGCGCTTCGTTGCGCGTGAAAATTATGATTTTTGCTTTTGGGAAAATCTCATTAAGTTAAAGTCTGAAAAAGGATGCCGATGGGCGATGCCTGGCCAGCATGGACTATTGCCTAGGCCATAAGTATAGGTGGAGAGCGGTGTGTAGGGGTCGTGAGGAGGGGGGGGGGGGGGGGGGGGGGGGGTGGTTATATGCAGTGTAATTTGCGTGCAGCTGGGACGCCGACGTAGCCGGCATTCGAGCCAAATTGAAAAGCTCACTGACCGACGACCGCCCGCGATAACAACAACCAGAACAACAACAACCATTACAACAAAAACAACATTTAAACGCATGTTACGTAGTATTTTAATTAAGCGCACATTTTTATAGACATTTCTTAATGGCGCACCATAAATTTTCGGTCTGCCCAGAAGTGGTACCGATGCCACGGTAAGCGTCCGAGGAGGGATCGCGGCGCTGGCGTCCGAGCAGGGATCGCATACGCAAAGCGTAACTCAGGAATCTCATGTCCTACTCGCTCTCCCTCTCTCTCTCTCTCTCTGCCTCATTCTGAGATGCCTCTCTGAGATGGCATTTAGCAGAACGCATATAAAATGCGCGGCAGGCGACGTCGCTGCTGCTCATAAATGGAAAGTGAATTTTATGCGGTGCTTTAAACAAAGTTGTGAAACTGAAACGTTTTGTATTAAAGATTGAAGCACAACGTCGAACGCTTGATAACTTCATTGCGGCTCGGCTTTTTGGTGTCTCTCCCATGCACGATCCTCGCCTAACCTGCCCCCCCCCCCCCCCCCCCTCGCGCCATGCACGTTGCGATCGCGCCCCACCCAACGGTTGCATGAGGCAACTTTGTAGCCGCCTTATCGATGCACCGACTGATAAATGTTTGACACAGTGTGTGGCTTATTTGAGTTACAGTACGTCCTCGTTCGCGCCGTCGCCGCCGCTGCCACCGCTGACGTCCCACCACGCACCTGTTTTCCGCAGCGCTCATGAACACTCAGCGTGTCATTCACCCGACGACGATAGGCAATTGCAATTGAGCAGTAGTTGCAGCAAAAGTGTGTGAGTGTCGGCATGAATGCAGCCGTATGAATATGGGCGTGAGTAGTAGAGTATCTATATCTGTATCTGGTAAATACGTTTTATGGCCAGCTAGGGTACAAGCCGTTTAAGCTTTGCTTCTTCACACAAACACACACATTTACACTTGTGTTCGTACAGACTCGAAAAACATTCACAATCGTTTTGTTTGAATGAGCAGTATATGCTTCAGTTAGTTAGTCAGAGCTTGGCGAAGCATTATGAATAAAAGGTAAATAATACAATGGAGAGTAAAAACCAGAGCAAAATGCAAATATATGAATCGATGTAATTGTACGAATAGTAAATGCGTTTGCAGTCCTTATATGAATACTCAATTTATTACTGGGCATAACTGCTATTGATATAAATTTGAATACTATAATAATATTTATATTATTTATTTATATACAGTTAAAAATATTGAAATACTCATAATTTAAGGTTCGATTAAATGAATAAAGGATTTTTCAAAATAGAATGGAGGGAAAAGAATATAGAAATTTTTAATTATTCAAAAAACCGCTTTCTAAACTCTGTAATCATTTAAATGGGTACAGAAGAGACTTTTCTAGGGCATAGCTAATTTTTTGAATACTTATAAATGCATTCATTATATATTCATAGAACATATATTATGTCCTTTCAACATTTACAACTAGAAATTAATTTGTTTGCTATTTGACTATTTAAATAATTCACTTTAATTAATGATTATATATTCAAAATATTTTCTATAAGTCCATAAAATGCATCTTAGGCCTTTATAAAATTAACTACTAGAGATTTACTTGTTTATTCACTATTTAATTGTTATATATTCAAAATATTCATAAAATACATCTTATATTCTTATAACATTCACAACGAGATTCATTTGAATGCTTCATAGATATACAGTTGTCCCATTGACATTTTATTCACTATTCATTTTTTTATTTATTCCACATATTCACTAAACATTATAAATATTATCTTTCATTCATAACAAGAGTTAATTTGCATGCTACTTTTAGCCTCTTTAACTATTATATTCAAAACATTCATTATATATTAATGAAATATATTTTATGTATCTATAATACTCATACCCATATATTAATTTGTTTGCTATTGCAAGCATATTTAACTACTCCACTAACATACAAATCCATTAAATACACTATTTAATTGTCATATTTGAACACTCATTTACGTAATTTATCATTATTGCCTGCACTCACTTATTCACACCCATTCATCAATTAGTCTCAAGATAATCAGCTAATCAAAATTTATGTGATGTGCACATAAGCGACATTCACAAACATTCAAAGTTATTCAAAAAAAAAAAAAAAAAATTAAACAAATAAAAAGTGGCGGCCAGCGCAAAAGTTTAGTTCAAAGTTGAGTTGCATATGTTGCATTCCTCATGCGGCAAGGCGATTCGTGGCTCGTTTCGGCTCGCCTCGAATCGTAATGGAATGATTTATTTGCATATGCAACATCGAAATGCACTCACCAGGCCCCAAAATGAGGCGACTTTTAAGTGGCCGGCACTCGACTGTTGCCTGAGTTATACATATATATATATATTTTTTTTGGCTGTCTCTCTTTCTGCCCCCGAACTGTCGCCAAGTGCTCCATTTCTCAGGCGGAGCACTTTGGTGTAAAGCTTATTAACGAAATTGTGTTTATTTGTGTTGTTTCTCGCTTCTTGCGCTGTTTGTCGCTGTTCTTTATTATCGAGTTTAATGGATTTTTAATGAGATTTAAGCGTAGCTTTTGACGGCATTTATAATTTAAAAAAATGTATAAAAAAGCGCTTAATCCTTCTTATAAGGGCGCTTCTGAAACTCCGCGTTTCTGTCATTTGGAAATCTCTTTCTCTATGCCGCCTTTGTATAAGTACTGATATTCTCCCGTTTTGGTGATCCTCAGCGCTGTATATGTAGAGCATTTTCTTGTAAATAATACGTTGACTGTCAATTTGTACACGTAAACTTCAGAATTTGATGCAATCAAGCTGTCAGCTCTTCATAGTAGGAGTTCACAACCAACATGGCATACACGATTAAAACTACGAAATGGCAAAAAGAAATTGTGAATTGTGAACTGAAAATTGCAGTGCTGCAAAGCTATCGATAATGGATATAGAGTATATCCATAATAATAGAGCTTATTAGTGTTGCAAAACTGTTCGCTTCTTTGATAACTCCTATATTCGTTATATCTTAAGTCATTTGATTCGCTCAATGAAATTGGTCGATAAATTATCACGATTATTGATATAAATATGATATATAATTTCAAAGACTTTTCCATATCGATTGTAATTGCGACAATTGCATAGTTTGCCAATGCTGTAAAGTCGCGAGCGCCTTCGATAGTTTTGCAACACTGGGCTTTTACTTTGCTTACTGATTCTTATAACTGCAAGTGCATTCAACAGAGCTGTAGCTATAGTGCAAATGAGCACTATGAAATGCACTATAAGCCAAGGTCCCATGTACGCCGGGTTTTTCTATAGTAACCCATAGAGTTGAAAATGCTTTTATCGACGAACTGTCAACTTACCGCCATTGCTCCAGAGATCAACAATAGATCGCTAAAAGACATAAGGTAAAAGACAAATGCGAAACACAAAACACTGTAACGAGCGTCCATCTTGTCAAAGAATTTGATCAACCACATTGGTAACTCTTTGCGAGTCACATAATAGACGGCAATACATCCCAGCGAAAAATCCTTAATCCCGAATATGCAGCCGATGATCATCGTCCCGAATTGCAATGAAATGCAGCAACAGCACTTCAATAGGCGCATCTTGATTGTCTAAAATTATATATTTCTGATTAAAAACATTTAAAATTGTAAATTTTTTTATCTGAAGTCTTTTATCGAAAAGAGCATAACAGATTTTGTTTTCTACGGATTTATTTATTTTTTTTTTTATATTTTCTGTAACTAAAGTGCAGTTTTTTGACATATATGTCATGGTAGATGTTTTCTTGTTTATAGCTTGCTTTTTATTTCGTTTTATTTACTTTCGTATTATGATATACTATTCTTGCATTTCCGAAGATTTGTCCTTTTATAGATATAACAAACTAAATGGGAATTGGATTTATTGCACATTTTTTGGTTTTGCAAGATATCGAGACCAAACTCGACATTTATAAGTTTTACCATGCTGTCCACATACTTATATTATATCTTAAAATATCGGACTACTATATCATAAAGCTGTTATAGGACTGATCGGTCATGGAGTATGTTCTTGTACCGCAAATAAACTGCTTTCAAGATAATTTAATCAAACTCAGCATTTACGTGCTTGCCTATTCTCACATATTTGTACGGCAAATGTGTACAAAGGTATTAAAGCTTCGTCATGCCTTACATATCCCTTCTTTCTCTCTTTTTTTAATTAGAGCCCAGGTTCCAATGGTACAAAGTTCAAAGCATGAAATTCATTGTCAATCAGTTATCGAAATGAATTCGCAGAATTGTAATTGCGCAGAAAATATAAAAAAATGGAAAATTAAGTAAAAAATTGAAAAACGCTTTAAAAGGCTAAAACATATAATTCAATTCGTATGCCGCAAGCGAATTATTTGTTTTTTTATCAGTGAGCAACAATCAGTTCGAGGGCCTGCGACGACCAACCTCAGAAGTAGTTTTCTGAAGTGTTAGCAGGCGGCTCAAATCCGCCCTCTGACAGTTGAGGACGCCGAAATGTTTTTTGGTTTTTTTTTTTTTTTTTTTGTCACATTCTTTGATCGATTATGAGCACATTATGCCTCGTCAAGCCAGAAATATTTGTTCAAAGTCCGAACCAGTTCGGTTTCTTGCATAACGCTTCTCTGGCACCGCCTGCATTGTGTGAACCATGACAAGGTCGTTGGCATTGTGCAGGGCGGTACTAGTTGACTCTAGTTGATAAGAATTTTGGCACTGCAAATTGTGCGCGTGAGTATAGTATCTTTCGAGTGCTTTTACAAGCCGCAAAATGGGTGTTTTTTTCGTCTTCTTCTTCATTTTTCGGTGTGGTACCGGGAATGTACCTACTACAAGCAGCCACTTCATTTATCGCCAATGGAATTTTAATTGAGTTAACATGTCGTGTAAATGACAGCAGCGGCGTCTGGGCGTGCAGTTGTGATTCAGATGTTAACGCAATGCTTGGCATACTTCGCACTGTGAGGGCGGAACCTTATGCATTGAACTGGTTCACGGTTCATTGTCCCAGACAATTGGCTAAGCCAATGAATCGGCTTAATTGACTGCAGGGATCAACATTCGAGCTGATTTGGATTGTTGTGACATAGAGTGATTCATTTGAGTAATTTTTGTTTTGAACTAGTTTAGTTCAGCTTGGTTCCGTTTGGATTGGATCGAAAGGTTGATTTTTCTGTTCTTATGTGTTCCATTGATCAAGTTCACTTAAAAATAAAAAAATTATTTCGTTGAAAATTTTGCAAATCATAATTAGCAAGCAAGCAATGGACAATTGAAGTGAACTGGTTCAACAACATTTAACAAAGACCTTTAAGTGATTTATTTATTAAATAATTCATTTTCCAAATCCCTTGTTTTGAACAAGTTCGGCTCGTGCATCTTCGTCAGGCTTATTTCAAAATAGAACAGTCCATTTTTTTTTTTTTTTGCATATCACGTGTGAATAAACAATTCGTTTCGGAATGCATGGAATGATATATTAGCATATACAACATTCCTGGGGTTCATTCGCTCATACATCTTCGTCAGGGCTTTGGGCTCTTCGCAACCAAAAGCCCCAATAGATCTTAAAACAATGCCCAGAGCTTGACTCGAACTGACCTAAGTCGCAATACGCAGCTGATAGAGAGAGGACAGTTTGAACTCCATAAACTAGCCACTGTGCCACGCGACATAGTTAAGCTGACAACTTGGACTTGCTTTTAGGGGAATAGTTAAGGCTAACGAATGGGTTTTTAATGCCATACAACCCAAAATAGAACCGATTGCACAGTATGCTAAAATAGAAATGGTCAAACTTGGATGGTATTTTTGCTGCTCTTTTTCCTAGTTGGCGCTTGGCGGTATCTGTGGGTATAATATCTGGATTTCCCCATCAACCCGCCAGATATTCTTGCTGACAAGCCTCCGACAGGAAATTAACAATTTCAATTACATTTAACTAAACGAGATAGTTGAAACGCTACCCCGGTAAAAAGCCAACGACTGGCGTGTGGCGCAGCTTAAAGCTCTGTTGCGTTTATTTTTTTACTTCTTCTTTTTTGTTGAACTTCTCTTTTTTTTTTGTTATAACTTTTTTGTGTGAGAGTGTTACTTTTATCGCACTACACAAACATTGTTAGTTTGGTTAATCCACAATAAAACAAATTATTTGACAAGCGCGTTTATTGATTTGGTTCTCGTGAAATTCGTTTGTGCCAACAACAATACAAAAGAAACACCAAATTTTGGGGGTATTTCCCGTGTGACGAAACTCCAATACGCTAGAAAATCAATGGAATTTAACCGGAGATCTAGGAGAAGAAGTCTGTCTGTTGAAGATTGTTAGGAGCAAGTGCATGGTTAACGAAAGTGAAATTATTGTAGCTATATAAATAGATATTATATTAGTTATTTGATTCTGATTTATAATTTATAAAAGCCAAAAGTTTTTAGCTGCATAAATACCTTTATATGAACAGAACAACAAAAAGAAAGATAAAATTGGCCGTTCTGCTGATTTTTATACCCTGAACCCATTAAAAATGGGTATAAGGGTATATTGTATTTGTGCGAAAGCCAAATGTATGTAACAGGCATCTCCGACCCCATAAAGTATATATATTCTTGATCAGCATCAATAGCCGTGTCGATCTGTCCGTCTGTCTGTCCGTCTGTCCGTCCGTCCGTATGTATGAACGCAAGGATCTCAGAACCTATAAGAGCTAGAGACTTGAAATTAGATGTAGGTGCTCCTAGTTCCCGCGCAGATCGAGTTTGTTTCCGATAATCGATAACTTACTCCGTTTGCAAGCAATCGATAAAAATCGATATCGATATCCTGTTTTTTGGGCAATTTTGGTAAATAATAAGAGCTAGAGTCACCAAACTTGATATATAGCTTCTAAAATAGAATATGTATATGCATTTGATGTTGGAATAAGAGGGTTCAGGGTATCCTCTAGTCGGGAGCTCCCGACTAGAACCTCTTACTTGTTAAATATATAAGTATACAATATACAAAGTGTTGCGTTTATTTATGATTATGAAAACCAAAGAGAGTATGACTTTTCGGTTTGTATGTTTCACATCCTAAGAGTCAAATCCGATGTTTTCCCTTAAGAACTCGACTAACGAAGTTTATAGAGGAGGTGGCATAGATACATACATAAATACAAACCATATTTTGGTTATGAATATAATTCTTAACTATGTATATAATTCTTAACTATCGATTATTTTGATCGATAACCTTAAAGATAGGATGTGTAGAGAATATTTTTTATTTATTTGTATTTTAATAATTATTTCAATAATCGAAATGTTTGATATTTAAATATCAAAATGTCTTACAAATTAAACATTCTTTTATATATATTTAAATAATTATCGATTTAAATGCTTATTTATATTTAAAAAAAGCTAAACTATCGATAATTCTATCGGTGACCTTAATCATAGCATTCTGAGTTGAATATGCCTATACAAAATATTAGTTATTATTTTTTGTATATATTTATATGATATACTTATTTAAAACATCTAAAGATTGCCTGCTTTTTGGACTGCCTATTAAATCCAACGATATATAAAAAAGCCGATACATAGATTTATCATATTTTACGAAAGCTAATGTTATCGGGCCACGATGTTTCTCTCTCGATATAAGTGGCAGGGATGTCGATGACTGCGATACATTATCATCGATTTGTAAAAAATCCCCAATTTTGTTTATAGAGTTATTCATGTAACCCATACAAAGCTAACGAAAAACTTGTAAGGCCCCCGCCAAGGGTATCAACAGCAGGTGGTTGGCATGCAAATTCCTAAAATATTTTCGAAGTAAGTGACGCGCTTAGTTCGATAATTTAAGTCACGGCTTTTTTGATGATAACTGATAAATGATATAGTAAATACTAAATAAAATGATGTAGTAAATACATAATTGGCAGTCACGCGTTTCTTCGGGATTCACATTAAAATTGTGCTATCAAAAGTTTGTTTACGATGCAAACAAAAATATATATTTACAAGTTACGGTCAGATATTTCGAGGATTGCAGTTATATAGAGTACATAGAATCAGGAGCCTTGAAATCAACTAGTTTATTATATTAAAAACAATATGTCATATATCAACGCTCTATTATTATTTTATACTTTCATAATTCTAATTCAAACATTAGAAATATGTACGTCGTAATAGAATTTGAGAGCCTTTAGGGTCTTTAAGCGGATGTTACCACACATCAGGTCGATCCAGCGGGCCACGAGCCGCCAGTTAGAAGATAACACAAAATGAGTTTTGCAATGTGTGTACGAGTGTGTGTGTGTGTGTGTGTGTGTGTGTGTGTGTCTGGGGGGCATTTATATGGGTATAAGACCGACCGTAGACCTATTTTCTGTTTGTTTAAGACCAGTTAACGTCGCCGTCGCTGTCGGCATTCGCGTTGCATGTTACAGGAAATAAACAATAAGTAATTATGCACTCGCATTGTTGCCAGTTCAAATAATCGCCCACCGGCAAGGTGATATTTATAACGGTTCCTCGCTCCCCAAAACATGCCAAGTCTGGATACGCACACATGTATCTTGTGGCATGGCTGCAACAGAAAACATCATCATAAACAGCCGGTTCTGACTTGTCAACAAACTGTTCACAAAAAAACAAAAAAACGAAGACGTGCAAGAGCTGCACGTCGAAGAATGATTACCCTTGTGAATATATG